ATTTTGTGGCGCTATTTATTTAACCTTTTTGTGGACGGCTAGTTTATCAGATCAGATTTAAATAAAGGCCAAGGATTTCTTTTACAGGGACTTCCACGTGCTGCATTTATCTTCTGCAACGCAAGACCACCAGAAAGTTGGCAAATGAGAGGAGGCCACTGAGCCCGTCTAGCCCATCGGGTTTTAGTACTTTGTCATGTTCTGGACAAGACTACAGGCAGGTTGCCTTGTGTTGTTGCATTGGGTTGAAACTAGGAAAGGACTTCAAGCCCACCGTGGGGTCTTGTTACGAAGGACTGTAGGACTGTAGGACTGTAGGACTGTAGGACTGTAGGACTGTAGGACTGTAGGACTGTAGGACTGTAGGACTGTAGGACTGTAGGACGAAGGACGAAGGACTTTGAAAGACACTACACTCTTCTGCACTACATCCACAGCCAACAACCCAATTACATGGCTGTTTGGCCTCCTGCTTCTGTGTCTAAACAGAATTTCCTTACTCCGCATTAATGGTCAGATTGTACTACATACTGTACATTGTTTCATTTCTGCATTACTGGAGAAATTGTGCAGCCTTCTTTATTTTTTTTTTTTTATGTGTCACCAAAAGGTCGCGTTTCATCAGAGCAGAGAAGTAAGGGCCTGCTTTCTTTCTAAAAATCCTTGAGGGATTTGGGTTTGAATATAAGCCATTCAACCGAGAAGAAAAAACTATCGAGAGATCTGGCGGTTTGGCAAGCCGTGGCGTTGAGCGCTGAGTTTACACAAGTCTCTTCCAGAGAGCAGACTGGGGTTTCTCTGCAGGCAGGACGTCTACCTAGAATCTGCTCTGACAGCTTCTGCATATTGTATTTATACCATAAAAACCACATTGCAATTTCAACTAAATTGACTGGATGGGAGCAAAGTTCCAATTACTGTGCTTTTCCACATAAATCTTTGCGAATCCTGCAGTTTAACACCCGAATTGCTGCATCTTGGCATAATTCAACACAATGTCGTTCTACAGTCTTTTCACTCCAATGTTACTTCCATCTTGATCCATCTGAGGTGCTGCAGATTTCATTTTGCAGACAAATACGCCTCCATGCATCAGTTCTCCCTTCAGCCTTGAACCACCCGACCAAACTGTACCGAAACTCTTTCCTGCATCACAAAGTCCTGTAGAAATGACTTCTCATCCCACCACAAACTGAACAGGCTTTGTGGCTGCTGCAGCCACCAGGACACTACTGACAAACATCCGTCTAACCCCTTTCGTTATAATCACTGTCACACGATCGTTTGAGTAATCCTCTGCATTTATACGCGTTCTGCAGTAACAATGGCATTCACAGGCACTGAGCCACACTTACGTATGGGATTTTGCACTGAAACGCACTCCGGCATGTCGTATCTATGAAGGGTTACAACCACAAAGAGGACATTTGGCCCCATTTAGTACTTAATATCTAACTAATACAAGGATTTCATCCAGGCCATCTGTCAGTCTGCTCCACACTCCCACAACTCTTTGCGCACAGAAGCGCCGCTGCTTTCAAATGCATGGCCACGCGTGGTCCTTGTCCGACAGCGAGCCCGTGAACGCGCGCTCACCTATGGAGACCTCCTTGATCAGCTCGGCAGCGCTGTGACAGCCTTGCACCAGCATCCGGGTCCAGGAGGACAGGTCCCAGTGCGTCTCCACCCGGAAGAGGTGCGCCTCGATGCCCTGCCGGGTGCCCGTGCGCGTGGCGAACACCAGCTCCGAGCCGAGGGCGGGTGAGCTCCTGGCGCTGCCCGAGTGGACCAGCCTGCAGAGAGACGCACACCAGGGCAGCCGTGAGGATTCGGACAGCTCTACGGTGGAAACACGGCTGTGGGCACACTGGCGACACCAGCTCCAGAAACGTCCTGGATTCTTCTACACGGGACACAGAACTGGCCCGCTTGGGCAAAATCAGCTTAAACTACTTAAAATCTTAGAATGCAGTGGCACATTTGGAAATAACAAATGAAATCACCTTATTTTTAGAAATTTCAATGTCTTTTTTTTTACCAAATTGACTTCAAAGTTGTCATAACCACACAAGGGCCTTACTGTTCGGCACATTTCTTACACCGTTCTGGATGACCACAAAACAGAGATGTTTTTAAATCGGCCAAGGACAGAGGCTTCTGATGTTCAGATCCTCGCAAGTCTGAAATGAACACTACATGTTCAAGACGCCCCTTGAGCAACCGGAGACAGCTCTCCCACAATTTGCTGTTAATTCAGTTTAGTGCTCTGAAATTGCAAGACATGAAAAATATGAAAAATACTATATTAAATGAATGTTTTAGACTGACTTGAAATTTAGAATTAGTGCTTAGTTCACTTTCTAGCTTCGTAATTTGGAACTGAGCTGCTGCTCAGCTCTGCTCGTTTCTAGAGCCTTTGCACCCCGATATTTGGTAACCATGCACATTCACACCTGACGGGCTATTTCCATCTCACAGGGACATTAGTCCTGCCTGGATAGCTGATGAATCTCTAGAGGACATCGCTGCAAAAATTCACAAATGTCCAGAACCTCTCTTGGGTAGAAAAATGTCTTCAAACAAGTGACCTAACAAACTACTATATAATAAAAAAGTGCATATATCTGTGGACCATTTCTGAAACAAAACACCAACATGCTTTCCATCATCACCTATCAGAAATGCATCAGGGTTAACACACTGCCATGAATTCTTACAGTTCTTACAGCCTCCCACAACAACAGCCTCCCCAGCTTCACAGAAAGGATTCAGTGTCAGGATTGTCCCTGTTGGGCCCAGGAACTGACACCTCAAAGAGTTAAATCCGGGACACAGTGGTCCCAAGGAGGACTTTGACCTAATTGGTATGCGTGTCATTCATCGCTCCAAGGAACAAGGGAATGAAAAAAGATTGAAACCAGCACTTTTAAAGTTCAGTGGGACCTGTTTCCCAAACTCTGGGTGAAGAGAAAAACTGGTCCCGACTTGTTTCTCACAAAGGTTTCTTTTATTATCATTTTTTTTTTGCATTTTCGGCTTGTTTTAAAATTGCAAAAATCTAGTCAAAATGTGACCTTTTATTTCACCACAATTTATTTAATCATTGGTCAAATTTAAGATCCATGACTCTCGGAGTAAAATGAACGACTATAACAAGCAAATCATGACTGATTTTGTGAAGCATTACCAAGATTAGTCTTTTCAAGGCGCATAAAAAAATGTACTTTTAAAACGGCAGATCAAGGGCAAACATTTTAAAATTCTTGATAAAGAGAGATGAAATCTGCTCAATTTGATTAAGCATCAAGATTCCTTTTGATTTGAAACAAACATATCACTTAAAATACCAAGGGATTATTTAAAAAACTCAAGAATATTTCATTCATTAAGTTGTTGAGGATCATTATTTGAAATCATTTACCTAGTGAAGCTTTTACAATGAAATTTGTATCTACTGATTGAGCTCAAACTGAAACTGAAATCAGTCTTTGTGTATTAAACCATGCCACCTGTGCCTTATAACTAATTTCCCAGGACAGTCTCACAGTCTCTTGATGAGCTCCAGGAGGACTCAAACAATTCCCCAAACCCTTTCCTTCATTATGTGCTATGAACTGTTGCCCTGAAAAATAAACCAGCAGGTCTTGTAAGAAATAATCACTTGCTTGTTTCTAGGCTGGTGTGTGCCACAGCCCAAGAGGATGAAATGGAACTGCACTACGACCTCTGCAATTTATGCTAGTCTATGTTAAATAACAAATAAGGTATCCTTAGCAATGGATAAACAGTTCATTTTATGCTTTGCCCCATTAGCTTGCATTTCTTTCAGTTCCAAGTGCTTTAATCACTGCCTGTCCAAGCCCAAAGCTTAAATGCCAGTCTCCTGCACAATCATTTGCATCAGGCCCTGCAGGTTGCACCAGGCCATGCCAGCACAGGCCACCATCGGCTCCTTTGTGTGCTCAGTGTTGTGTTGCCAACACAGCATTCGCTTACCCAGAAGTCACTGTGGCAGAGCTCCTATACTCTGTCTCAAACCAGAGAGCATGGCCCCTTCAGCAGGACTGATCGCTTCTAATAACTTTATACACAGCAGAACAAGCGAATTGGTTCATTTGCTGAGCTTGCCATCTGTGTTAATGTCTGTGTGCTGAAGTGTCCCATGTCTACTGGTTATGCAGCTGCAGATGGCCCTGCTCCTGTGGATGGGTCAGGTTAATGGCGTCCTGAGCTCCACTCTGGGCCACAAGTGGACAGTGTATGGAGTCCTGCCAGACACTGGGGCAAGGGTTAGTAAGGTTAGATTTTATTATGATTGCATTAAACTTTCTGAGCAAATTAATAATGTTGAGTTACATCTTTGTGAATAAACTACTGTCGTCTTCAAAAAATGAAAAGAGGAGAAACTGTAACAGGGCTCCCAGATGCCTCTTGGCCAGTCCAAGCACACACAAACAAAAGCTGTATCATATCTCACGTGTCTCTTCTGCTGGAAATGCAGGGATTTGTTTAACATAAACCAGATGGTTAGAAAGTGCCCTGCCAGCAAAGCACACTGATTAGATATCTGGAAGACGTGTTGGATTCTGCCTGGCTGTACTCATAATCTGATCCAGCTGGAGACTCGCTGGCAAACAGCAACTGGATTCCTTCTCTGAGATACAAGGCTGCACAGGGTCTAACTGCTGCAGACTGGTACCGAGGCAGGCAAAAACCACAAAACCCAGAGCAATGACACCCATCCACATTGGGCTGTGCTAGCCAACAAAACCAGATAATTGCAGAAAAACAGCACTTTCGCCCAGTTTTCACTGCTAACACTGCAAGCTCGCAGGCGCCCAGCAAGCCACAGGAACTGAGTGTTGAGTTCCATGTGGGTGCTAACCTGCCCAGTTCCTTTCTGTGGCCAAAACCATGTGTCACCAATGAGGGAATCTTGATCACGGTTGGTCAAGCAGGATAGGAAACAACCGGTTTTTGGCTGTACAGCACAACCAATGTTACAAACAGTAGCCTGTAGCAGCTGAGCCTTGAGAATTTCTTTCTTTGCATGACAAAACAAGCTTTGTGAAGCAGCAAATAAGATGAGTGAAATCAATATGGGAGATGATTGAGTTTTAATTGCATAAAACTCAGCAGCATTATGCGATTTATGTTGTATGACAGAACACCCAGAGTGTGTGCAGTTGTGATAGGCTGCAAATTCAGGAGACAAATCTTTTAGTGATTTAATTTTTTCGGTTGATTTAAGTAAAAATTTCCAAATGGCCGACTATATGCACTGACAACAGATGGGGAAAAAAAGCCATTTCAATCCAGAGACCTTACTATAATCCTACCTTAAAAAAGGATAGTAAAAATCTTCATGATGGTTACAGATCAATGATCATTAACACTTTTCTAGGGGCAGGACTATCCCCAGGGCAATTACAGGCATAAATGACTCAGAACACTTGCATGTCTACATTGGACTGCGATATAAAATTCAATGCAGTAGATTAAGAGGTATATTTACTGACTACATGTCATAACTAGAAAATAATAATTGTGATGCATGCTTATTTTCTCAAACCTCTCGGATACATTTCTTCAAACTACATCAAATGGTTTCTAATTCACAGCTTGGTTGATGGAATCATTGTTGAGCTGGAAAAAATGCAAAAATATCTGGAAGTAGCAGAAAAATGACTAACGTCAGAACAGCTCTTGTCCATCTCAGAGAACACTATCCTATATGCACCCTACAACTGTTCCACTTACTGTGCAAAGACAAAGATTCAGCAGTATGTTAAAGGTGCCATGAGCAATATGCTTTTGGGAAGTTTGCTTCTTGTTTATAAGAGTGCACAGAAACTAATAAACTGCAGAGGAGTTTGATCTATTTCTGGTGTTATAAGCTGCAGGCTGCTGTAAAAACTATACTGACAAAGCATAAAAGCAGTATTCTTCACACGACTGGGCCTCCCCACACTATACACAAAACTAAGACTGTTATCCTGATTTGGGGAAAACTATCCAGCTCCTGTTTTTGGCTTATAAGGAAGTCAGACATTTGTGCCTAGGGCTGGACAACAATGAAGTTTTGAGTAACTGATCATCACAAAGTGCTGTGATAATCGCGATTACAGGCTGAATAAAATACTTCTTAGCGCACATCAGAAGTAAATTTACTTGACATTTGCCTCAGAGTCTAGAAGGAAAAAAAATGGGATCAAACATTGAGGTTTTCTCCAAGGCCATAGTTTAAACCCAGTGGGTCACCATCTTACTAGCCACTAATTACTATGGTCACAGGACACAGACCGAACAGCATTTTTTCCCCCTCTAAACTCAAAGCTAACATTATGTTGTTCTAAAACACCATGCACTAGTGGAACTGGCTATTCCACTTTTCAAATTAACCACACACAACGATCAATAATAATTTTCTCGATGTGGTCGGTAATGACCATCTTGTCCCTAAATTTCATCTTGAACGAAAAACCCCCAGCATGTTCAGAGTCTTACTCTTCTTCTTTCTTTTCCAAAGACGATTGACAGCAAACAGTCTTCTTCAAGCCCGCAATCCGTGCAGATCTCTCCTTGAGAATTCCCTAGTCCAGTGATGACTCTCATATCTGAGCAGCATGCCCATGACCTCCAGTGTGACAGCTGGAAGAATTCAGGGGTTCCTGAAATCTAGTCTAATAATCACAGAAAAATTCAAAATCTGATGGAAACACACAGGCCAGACTGGATGAGTTGTATCAGAGCCAAGAGTTAAAATGAAGGATAAGGTTGCATATTCATCACC